TCAGAGGAAGAATCTAGATGGTAATAAAATCGTCAATAAAAAATTGTACTCATTTATTTTGTGATATTATTTAATAAAATTATTATTTATTACATTTATTTTCATTGCCGAATTTCCGAAATATTTTCATTGCTAAATTTTCGGAATCAAAATTTGTGCATCATTGAAATGACAATTTTTACAATTAGAAACTGTTTGGGTCACTTTCATCTGCTGCTTGTTTCAGTACGTTGATCAAATAGCATTGTCCATGGGCTAAGGCTGATGAATTGGACGGTCCCCTTTCACTTTTCCTGAGCCTTCGACACCTCTCTATCTCGACAAAGTCGACCTGTTCACTCTTTTCTATTGTTGTCACTCTAGACAAGGGTGACTTATACTTTGAAGCCATCACATTCGGAGGAAAATATATATGGAGTCAAACAGTACACATCATAATTTTAAATAGAAAAAATGCAACCCTTGTCTTTTGGGCAAGTGTTGTGCTACATGGGTTCGGTTGCTCATTAGCTGGAATGGACCATACTTGGACCATATGTAGTTCTTAGAATCACATTTCTAAACTAACCAGAGCTAATCCAAATTGATCATGTGAATACACATTATGCCATGCATGGCAACACCAAATTTCCAATTCTAATTTCAATTTTAAGGTACCGATTTAGTGCTCTCAAATGTAGCATTTGCATTTTTTCAAATGATTTATACCGAAGAACTTTAAATGAATTCTTTGAGTGTCAATTATGTCTCGTGGTAACAGAAATGCATTTTTCGGAGTGATAGCTAGTGGAACCACCACAAAATCAAATGGTGGCACAAGAGGGAACCTAGCCTAAAATTTGCCCCATATATGAGGTCCAAGAAAACCCAAATCAAAAATATCACTCAAACAATTGATTTGATGATGCCAACGAGTGTTTTGTCCATTAGGTTTTTCAAGAGATTATTAGGCTCACAATGCCACCATGGTGATTGAGCACTTGTCTCAGATGGTCTATTTTGTCCCCCTACATTGGTGACTTAATTTCCTTCAGTCACTTCCTAGCCCTTGTACATATTACATGTTTGGTAGCTTTCAATTTATTTATATACAATGAATCCAAGTTTAAAGTAGCATTCCATGGCCATGGTTCTTCCAACAGTCCAATCTGGTTCAACCCTTTTCATTACTTCAAATGAAATATTGGGCCAAGAAGGTGTGGTGTGGACAGTTCATCGAGATCAAAGATTGTGAACCAGAGAAAGTGAGAGAGTCATTAAGAAGATTTTCATCAAGGCCTTTGTTTGAAGTGGACCCCACCACTCCTTGTCACTGCCTTGGCATGGAGGGCACAACTTTGGCCAACTTTATCACCTAAAGTGTCTTGTTAGGGGTACATAATCTGGACATGACCCTAAACTGTCTCCCTATCCCAACCGTAGAGCCCATAAGACTAATTGGCATGTCATTTCTTTCTACTAGCTAGGGTGCCTAGCTTCCATTTGATTTATCAAAAGTGAATTAGCAATGTGATTTGTTTCTTTGTAGACAATATCAGATAAGGATTGGAAACACATAGTGGTGGACATTTGTTGTTGGAGATATATATATATTTTTAATAATATTCAAGAAATACATTTTTAGATGAATTGAAATGTATCTAATTATAAAATATGAGGAATAAATTCAATTAACACAAAATATTTAAAAAATTTACCAATATTACAAATTTGTACATCAAAGAGAAGATAAAATGGACGAAAAATAAAAGAAGAAATAAGTACCTATGATACAATTCCAAACTATCAGCTAAATATCTCCACGAGCGCAGATGTCTTGATGATCTAGTGAGTTAATGTCTTCGGTAGATTTTAGGGTACCAAGCTTTAACTCTCTACATTTACTAATTTAACTTTTAACACTTCTTGCTTTGTAAAAAAATTAAATAATAAATAAATAAATACAATAAAATTCCACAAGCACTCATTCAAAAAGACAATGTACCAAGTTAGAGACTCTATGAGACAATCTTCACAAGCACGTTTTCAAAACGACGACGTACCAAGTCTTCATGTTGCGACCCATAAAACACATGAACATATATAAAAGTAGATGAACATAATGAAAGAAAGAATAAGTTTATAGAAGTGAAGAAACATATAAAATGGACTGCACAAAATCAGTTGGGGAAAACCCTAACTTATATAATCTTTGTCCAAAGACTTTTAATGGCCAAATTAACTAATACCCAATAAAATCACACAAATAGCCCAGTAATTAGTATAAATAGGCCAATGTATACAGGCCCAATAATACAAAAATAAATAGGCTACTAAATTGCATATCCATTTAAACTCATATATCAAAAGTAAGAGGTGGGAGTTCAAGTCATTCTCGAAAGGACAAATGAGTCTGCAGTTTCTTGTCGAAAGAGGGAGTAAAAAAAAAATTTAATTCAACATACATACTTGGAGATTTTTGTGTGTGTAATCTGTTTCTATAATTATTAAAAAAGAAATAATAATTTGAATTTATGATTTTGGAATTTACCATCTCAATAACCCAAAAACATGAGGTGACATGAAAATAAAATTAGAAATGGCATTTTGTCGCCAAATTGTTGAATGTTTGGTGCTAGCATTGAAATTAATTTTCTTGCTTCCTTTCGTCCATAAGTGGTGTCTTTTCCAAGATTTCTAGAGGGTCAACAGACTCAAATTCAACCGAGATAGCTCATAAACCTGATCCAAGGTTAGACTCGGGATGAGCATCTCGGGCTCAAGGATGGGCTTGGGCCTAATACAGCTTGGACAGACTATATCTATATGGTACATTTTTTTTTTTTTTTTTTAAATTTCTTTTCAAAAGTACACACATTCACATTTCAAATATATTTTAATCTTCTTGTCTTATTATTGCATTTATTGTTGTACTTGAGAGGAGAGACTAGGCCATCCAACTATCCAAGGCTTGCCTTGTCACCATAAGTTGGCCTTTCAGAGTGCCTTTGTTTGACTCTTGTTCTGTACATCTTCTTCTATTCAATACTACTTACCCATTTTTAACTAATAAAAAATAAAATAAAAAAATCACTTAAGACTTTTTGGATAAATTTCACCGATCTTGATTGAGGTTTAGGCAAATTATATAAGGATATACTGTTCAAAATTTTTATTTTTTTATTTATTTTTTTTTCTAGTTAATACTTACACACACCTCTCCCCAAAAAAATTATTTGCACCTAGTAGGAATCAATCATGAAGCCTATACTTCATGATGCACTTGGGTACAAGTCTTTCTAACATGACACTCTTGTTTTTTCTTTGTGGACGACTTGCTAACCATTTTTATTTATTTATTTTATAAAATGTCATTTTTGCCCCCTTCCTTGTATAAAATGTAATAAAATATATTATTATAATATAAAGGCATTATTGACTTCTTACATTCAAAGTCACTTTTTAACTATCAGCAAACGAGTTTAGGGGAAATTAAACTAATAAATGTTGAATGGTACCCATTTATAATTTGTTCAAATCTCAAAAAAAGTCGGTGTAACTTACCCTAGCTAACTTTTTTACACATAAACAACTACGGGATAACTTTATAAATTTTGTTAATAAGTGGTAAGTTTATAATTTATGGATAATGTATTGATACGTCACTTTTACATATAATCTTACACTCAACTTGATGTTTATGTATACAGAAACGTGTTGCCAAAGTGAGTTGCTAGAGTAAATTTTAAGATGATTGTCAAAGTGCTTCTTGAAAGACAAATATGTCATTTTTTATTTTTATTTTTTCTTGAAAAAGTAAATAGAAGGTAAGAGTAAATAACTAGAATGTGTGAATATCACTTTTCTTCTATACCGAATACACTAATACTACTACCAGTGACTGAGTTATAACTTAAAATACAAAAAAGTAGAAAGTAATTTATAAGGTATAGCTTACAAAACTATTATTAATAAATTATTATTAAACTACTAGTAATGTTAAGTTCTATAAATAATAAATTCAATTTTATTGATTTTGAAAGTCAAAATAGCCATTTATTTTGGTAAAAAGGCCAAGCCCACGTACGATTAGTTCCAAGCCTGTAAAAAAAGTAAAATAATAAAAAAGAAAAAGAAAGGGACAAGAAAAAACTAAACAAAAAAAGAAGGCAAAAGAAAAAAGCAACAATGCTTAATTGGTTTGCATGTATTAATTTTATTGATTTAGGGGCACAACCGTCACAGAAAAATAGTACACTGGCACAACAATGAGATGCCTCAGCTAGTGGTCGACACGTCGTACCACAGAGTCCAGGGTTGGCGTTGTCATGCAGCAGTCATTCTCATTATCAGGTACAAATACAAAAAATATATACGTGTATATGTTTTTCACTCACCCTGTTTTTTTTTTTTTTTTTGGAATGATAATCACTCACCTTGATTATGCACCTGAAATATATATATATATATATATATATATATATATATATATATATTTGATAAATATTCACACAAATTCACAAATGCCCATTATATATAATAATAATACAAAATTATAAAAAAATAATATATAATCTGATTATTTGATCTGAGTAAATATTTACGTTACGTCTAATGTTATCTTATCTCCTTCCATTCTCATACCATATCGAAAGTCACTATTCTATGGTCAAACTTGTGTCGTTACCTTATCAATTTATAATGTACAAAATTATTTCAGGAGAATTTTGATATTTATACATACACACATAACGTATGTGTTTTTATGAGACACTATTTAGTAATAATATATAATACTTCGTAATAATTAAAAAAAGGTAGTAGTCTGTCTTTTTCTTTCTTTTTCTATGCCTGTAAAAGCGTTGAGTCTAAACCCAAACCAAGGAAGAAGGTAACAAAATAATTCTCCAAGGTTTCTCTCTCTCTCTGCATGTCATTATATAGGTATACATATATATATGTATATTTATATTTATAGACCCACACACACACACAAACTGTTGACTACGTGATCTAACCTCAAACCTTAAGAGTACTCCTGACCTAGAGAAGAATAACAGAAACAAATCTAGCCATGTAGTACACCTATATATTTATATATATAGTAGTATTTGTTATGGCTTTATATATTGATTGATATATTTTATCAGCTTAAACTAAGGATGTACTGTAAATAATTGTGTCAGGTAATTACAGCTAGCAATATTATAATATATATATATAAAAAATAATGGGAAGAGGGAGGGTGGAGCTGAAGAGGATCGAAAACAAGATAAATCGACAGGTGACATTTGCAAAGAGAAGGAATGGACTGCTGAAGAAGGCTTATGAGCTCTCTGTTCTCTGTGATGCTGAAGTTGCTCTTATTATCTTCTCCAACCGTGGCAAGCTCTATGATTTCTGCAGCAACTCTAGGTATGTCACACCTTAGTTTCTCTCTCTACACATATGTGTGTGCGTGTGTTTTTTTTTTTCCTTTCAATTTTTGCAAATTAAGGGAAATTAGGGCTACCCAATTTTTTTTATTTTTTTTAGACATACAGAAAGTAGTATTTATTCGGTTGATGCGCTCATGTTACATTATTATTATTTTCCATATTAAATGGTTTTCATGCAGTTGCAGGGCTCCATTATTGGAAAGTTTTCACCTAATTTTCTCTCTCAATCATCTGATAGTGTAGATCTGTGTTAGAACTTAGAAAATAGTTAACTATATATCTTGTTGAGTTAATAAATTGAATTCATATGAATTCAATTTAATTTGATGCTAATCACATCTTCATAATTATATGTGTACATATACTAGATTTGAATTAATACAATATAAGTTTTATTCCATGTGACCCTTTTTGGATCTTTTAATTTGTACAAATGTGACAGTAGAGAAACAAAAATTTAAAATCAACCTACCAATAAAAAAATTAAAAAGTTAAATACGTGTGTGTCTATGTGTGTGTATTTGTGAGTGTATATGAATCAATATAAAAATTATGAAAATAAAAGCCATAAATCTGCAAAAAGTTTCGTTAAGTACAAAACATCATGTAATGCTTTCAGCATAGACATATTTACAAAATTGAATGGAACTGACTAATAGAAATAGAATAATATTTTGATTAAAAATTACTCCATTCTTATATACACACTATGGACATCATGAATTCTTGTAAAATCATGATTGAAAGTCTGTACCTTATTTAGAATATGACAAAAAAGCTTAAGTTCTATGATTGTATCCATCTACCTCATAGGAAAAGATCAAATAGTCATAAAAAAACATTGAAAAAAAAAAAAAAGAAAAAAAAGAAAAAAAAAAAAAAGAAGCTTGAAAATGTATTCAAATAGCTTTACCCGGTGATCTAGTTGGTTGAGCGCCTACCACTTCATACAAATTAAAAATATGTTCAAACAAAACTGTCTGATAAACAAAATTAAATAATTTAAAATAATCATGCATTCAATGAAAATAACTCAATCTTTTTGCTTCACCTTTGAGAATAATGGAACAGCTAGCCATTATAAAACCCTAGACATGAGCTCCTAAAATCAATAGGGAGTATAACTAAAATTATTTTTTCTTCCTGGTAGATAAACCTATATATAGTTAAACTATTAAAAAAGATGTGTGCCCATATTGTTCATGACCTATGGTTGTTATTTAGAGCAGATTGTTAATGCTGCTGCTTAGGTTGGTTGTGGAGGTTTGTTCATGCTACTACATAGGTTAGTAGTGAATTTGTATTGTTTTGTCTTCGCTGTGTATTGTTGTTCTCCCCTTAGATGGGGATCTTTGTACATTCTTTCCTTTATTCAATGAAGCTTACCCTTTAACTAAAAAAAGAAAGAAAGAAAGATGTGTGATATTGTTTCTTTAAGTTTCAATTGAACAATTGGATAAATAAATTTCTTGATCATCCCTTTCATGAGCTCTCGAGAATTCATTGACTGTCTAGTATTAACTTATAAATATAAAAATTTGATGTGCCAACTTGTTTTTCTCAATTTATACTTATATTTACATATACATTAAAAAGGGAGCTGATATTGGCACTCTACCAATATTCTTAGACGCTTCAATCTCTATTTTTCTCACAATAAAATTACAAAAGAGCCCACATATCACAAAAAATAGCTCTTTATATTTTTAATTCCATATTTGCCCTTCATATTAAGATTAGAACTCTTGACTCCAAAATGAAAAATCCTTTGACTTCTTTCTCACGCGCCCGAATCATTTAGGGTATTTAGTTTAATTCTAATTACTATTTATTATTTTGTGTATCATTTTGGGCATTCAGTTAATTCTGTCTACTATTTATTCTTTCGTTTTAAGGTTATGTGTTTGTTTCACAATCTCTTTTTATGTTGAATTTTGTAGATTCAGGAGTTGTTCTGTAATTTACAGATGATTGATAACCTTGTCATATCAAGGAATCATTTTTTTCCTATAATTTTGTGGGAAGGCTCAGTGTTTGGTAATTCCAAATTTGTTTCCATTTTATTATATCTAAATAGTAGGATTTTCGATTGTTGAAAAATATAATTTATAATCACTTACTGGATTTTCTGTTTGGCTTTATTTTTGGAGTAGAATATTGTGTTTGTTGGTTTGACAATAGCAATATACATAATTTTAAATTAATTTTAGTTTTTGTTGAAACTTTTTTTGTTGATAAGGGTAAATATGGAAAAAAAATATAAGAAGTTATGGTTTTTTTTTTTTTTTTCCCTGTCTTATAGAGATCTACCTACTTGACTGTCCTCGGATTTTATGAAAAGAAGTCTGCATCCGATGCAGTCCTTGATGGCAGGGATGAAGCTAGCCTAGAGGTGGAGCAAGGCCCCCCCTCCTGACCCGAAAATAAAAAATAAAAAAATCAAATTTGTTCTTATGCCTCCTCGAAATTAAATTGTTATTTTATATAAATATTCTTACTTGTGACTCTCAAAATTCATATAATATTTTAAATGCTCTTTTAAAAAATTTCAAAACATTAATTTATTTATTTATTTTTAGTTGGTACTTATACATATATGCTTCCAGCGAGATTCGAACCATCTCTTTAAAAATAAATATAAGTGATGTCATCTCAAAACTCATTTAAAATTTTAGTTTGGACCTCTTTAGTCTACTTTAGAGAGCCCAAATCTTGTGGAGTAAAAATCTAAGTTATTGGAATATTTTGCTGCAACTTATCATTGTTTTTTAAATATATATATATACACAAGCATAGTATCTATAATACGAATTCAGAAGAGAGAAGAAAAAATTACTCTAACGTCTAGCTCCTTATATTTAATAAAATAAAAATATATAAACCTTCTTTACCAATTATTTTCAAGAGAAATAGTAAAAGCTAGAGTAAAACATTTTTTTATTTTATTTTTTTTTAGTTAAAGGGTAAACTTTTGTATTAAGAAGTAAAAGAATATTAGATGAGGTCCAAGTAGGACAACAGCAACTGCCATAGGCAGGAAGCAAGCCCAAAGGCTCAATACAAGTGCAGTAACATCAACACTTAGTCATAGGCAAGAGATTGAGCATTAGCAAAGCAGCAACCCTAATGAACAGCTTCTGCAAGTCCTCAACTTTATCAATTTTCCTTAAATCATTTGCTCTTCTAAGGCTGATTGAAGCAAGAGTAAAACATTGTGATATCGAGATGACAAAAATATAAACAACAATAATATTATCATTTATAAAAATATTTTTAGTTGTCACATGTTAGGTGACAAATTTAATAACTAGTCCTTGTATAAATTATTAAATCAATTCTCTATTTTGTTCTTGGTAATTGAGTTTTCTTAAATTTTGTTTAATTAAATATTATAATATATATATTTTTGGAATGTGATGGTGTTCCAGTTAGTTGTCATACTTGTATCTTTTACGGGTAACGTGCTTCCGAGAAATACCTAATGATTATGTTTCCTCCGGGAACCAGGGATTTTTTCCAAGGTCTAATTTGTCTCTTTCATGTATGCTAGTGTAATGATAGAAGTCCAAACTTGGAATGTGAGAGGACTTACCAGAGGGAAGTTTACCTCCCTCTCAAATTCCAAATTCATAACTTTTTTTCTTTCTTTTATCTTCATTATGGATCATAACAACTCAACCTTTTGACATTATTTTCTAGTAAATCAGCTGATATCCATGGTGGTTTTTGTGAATGGTTGCATTATTGTGGGTTTTGGGCTCTTTAATGGACAATCTAAATCTTCTTCTATTGTATTTGATGGTCATGATCACTCATATTCACATATAGTGTATAATTGAGCCTATAGGATTCACTCATTCCTTTAATGAAACATTCTGAGTTTTTGAAATCAAACCAATCTAAATCCTCTTCTAGTATATCGGTCACTCACACTCACACATAATATACAATTGAATCGTCTAATACGATACAATACATAAAATCCACTCACCCCTTTAACGGAATATATCTATTCCTTGAAATCAAACCACCATGTTAAATGAAATGTTGTAGTACACCTGTACCAGATGTATTCTTACATTCTAGTTGTTGGGTGAAACAATTGGTAAGTTGTGAATTAATGGTATTCCCACCATCCAATAGTTTGGAAAAGAAAAGGAAGATGTGACACTATTAAGAGTTTGTAATGTTACTTTACTGACTAATTTCAGTGTTAACCACAGCATGGCCAGGACACTGGAGAGGTATCAGAGAAGTACTTACAGTGCACGCGCACCAAGCCAGGCTGACAAGGATACACAGGTAGGCAACTTTGTCTTCTCTCTTTCCACCATTAGAGGCGTGCTATGTTACTGTATGTGAATTGACTAGCTTCGTTTATTTCATTCATATTGTACGAGGTGACTCACATGACTAGATATTCTGTGTCAGTCAGTAACTTACATTCAGTGGTGCACTATTGTTTGATTGATCTCTTTGGAGTATTAAATTAGTGTTTTAAATTTGAAATCCAAGTAAATTCAATTTAAAATTTATATTAATTTTTTATACGGTCTCAAATTTAAACTCCCGATCCGGTGTCGCATTTCAAATTACATATGTACTGATGGACTCGCAATCAAATGACAGGAGAAAGCATCTATCTTATTGATGATGCATGAGTTTTGGTAGGCTAACAACATACATTCACCCAGACCACATTCAAATTACTCACCTCCTATTGGAAGAGGAGACTCATATCCTCATGCTATCTAGGCCAATAATCCAATGGCAACTGCTTTTGACATTTTTTTATTCTATTACGAGATTCAAACTCCTAACCTCTTATTAAAAAAAAAAAGAAAAAAGAAAAAAAAAGAGGTTATTTTAACTTACTTAATAGACTAGTGTTACGAATGAGACTTGTCCCACGTCCGATTTAGATGGGGTTTGAAATATGTATAAAAGGGTGAGTATGCAACACTACTCAACCGCTTTAGTTTTTATGTAAATGAGTAGGCACCCACCTATTAAAATTGGTATCAGAGGCAAATTCAGTCTTTAATTTGGTGTCACGCCTTGCCTCCAGCTAGGAAGGCGTCTAAATCTGACCCTGGGTAGGCAGGATGGCCCTACTGCAACAAGAGCATTGCGCGGGTTCGGATGGGGGAGAATGTTACAAGTGGGATATTGGATTTGGATGGAGGTTGAAGTGTGTATAAAATTGTGGATATGCATAGCACTACCCAATAACTTGAATTTTTGAATAAATAAATAAGCGTTTACCCGTTACACTTAGTGACCGTTATCACGCCCACCCATTACACGTAGATAGTTATCTCGAGTTACTTGAATCTCCTTTGAAAGAGAATTATATACTCAAAATTTTATACTAAATTTCATTTAGAGTAGATCACACAAATAACTTTTACATATTTTTTCTTTTGACTTCATGTGACTAAATTACACAATCAACTTTGACAGGGGTCATGCAGCATTTTCAACTGATTATTTTGTAGTGAGGGCACTTTAATATTTGTTATAATTTGTTCATTATTTTCTTTACTCAAAGTGTAGTAATGTAATGGAGAGTTCATGACAATTGTCATGATGTCAACCTGCTAGTAGCATTACTATTTTATTTAATTATATGGCTTTATTTCTTATACACAACCATACTAACTTGTACTAATTGCTGACTCAAATCACCCCTAGCAGAGCAGTTACCAGGAATATTTGAAGCTTAAAGCAAGAGTAGAGGTCTTGCAACAATCTGAGAGGTAATGCACCTTGGTCATTCAGTACATGATCTTCGCTTTGAGATTTGTGCATTAAGTAAATCTTTCTTTTTTCGAATTCTACATTGTGAATATCGTTAATGCATTTGCAACAGTACTTTTGCTCATTGTTGATATCAAATCTGAATATTTCTGGTTCTTCAGGCATTTTCTTGGAGATGATTTGGGGGAGTTAAGCTCAAACGACCTTGAACAGCTTGAGGGTCAATTAGACACATCCTTGAAGCAAATCAGGTCCACAAAGGTAATATGACACCAATTCTATGCAAGCAAACATCATTTACTTTCACGAGTGGTGCTAGTGTCATTGAAACTGTGTTTATGTCTATGAGGGGAGGAGCCAATGTATATCCGAGGCACCTAACCCCTAGCCTGGCCCACCCAGTATTATATATATAGTTAATTTCTTTAATGTTATATATATATATATATATGAAAATGTGTATATAATGCTTCTTAAAATTTTAGTTTCTAAAATTATCTCTTACAAAAAAGAAAAAATTAGTTGACACAAGTACTTTGGCATTTTGTTGGTTGGCGTGTGTTGTGTGGAGAGTAAGGGGTGGGGGTAATGATGAAGTATGGAAACTTTTCATTATTTTGGTAGAAGGGATATGCAGGGCAAAAGGTCGGGTTGGAGGGGAATCCGCTTCCATCTAAAGCCAAACGCAAGTACAAAGGCAGGGAAAATGATATTTACATATGGTCTATCACGAAAAATAGTGTTATTATCCTGATATTTATTAATTGAACTTTGTGGCATGGTGTCATATTTGTGTGAAGTGACATGAATTTTGTTTAGGGATTGAATTTTTTTTTTTTTAACTCGTTTTATCTTTTGAATTGTGAATTTGAGTCTCTATTGTAACACAGTATATATGGGTTGTAGTGTTTGTGGAATGGGAAAGAAAGAAAAGTTCACCATTGACATACACTATACGTTGAATTAGGAAAATATTTGTGTTGCGTGATTTATTTTTCTATGTTTTCGTGATTGTATTCTTAGCTCTACCCAGCGGAATCCAAGGGGGGGCTGGGCTCCCCCCCCCCCCCCCCCCCCGCCCCCCCAAATTTTTTTTTTTTAGTATAGGTATATTTAGCCCAATGTTCTAAAAAAGAAAAAATTAGTAATAGTATTAGTCCCCCAGTTTTAACCTATCTAAACAAATCCAATATCTAAGTCACAATTTTAAAACAAATGTCCAACCAAATAGGCCCAAGCCAAACAAGCCGTAAACAATCACTAAGCCAAAGCACAGAGAACTTTTGAATTCCTAATCTTGTACAAATCAGAGAGCTCACTCCTTCTCTCCCTCTAAAATCTAACCCTATTTCCTCTAAAATTTTCCAACTCTTTAATATTTCGATCCCCAATTCCCCTTGTTTAATATTAGCCCCCCATTAACAATTCCTAGATTCGCCCTTGGCTATACTGCGACTGTCCTAACATGTTTATTACTTTTTATATAATAAGTGGTAAAATAAAAAGGCAACAAGATGATATTTATATATGGCCGAACCTTTCACTCCGGTGACCGATTTTTCTGTCGACGAGGCTGATCTGGTTGGTAGCCAACCCCCTCCACTCCTTTTTCCCCAATTGATCTGGTTGGTCCTACTGCAAGTTCATTGCATCCTCTCAGGGCTATTCTGTTAGCCAAGCCGGCCCAACCTCTTAATTTTTTGGGTGGCCCAATTACTTTTGTTCCTGTCGTGGGCTTATCTTTACCATCTTTGGTTTCTGGGCCTTGCTCCAAGGCCCCCTCAATGGTTTTTTCTCCTTCATTTCATATACCCAGCCCACCTCTTTCCACATTTATGGTTGGCCAAGCTCTATCTGATAACCCAGTTGCTCCGGGTAAGTTTTCTACTGGGCCTTTATTGATGCTAACCCGGGTCCTCTTTCCCCTGCACTTAAGTTGCCTTCCAATTTACACTTATCCCCTATTCTGGCAGCGAGTTTTTCGCCTTCGCCTCGCTCTCCCTCTCTCTCATCCTCTCGTTCATGGAAACGTTGAGCACGCCATTCTCATGCTCCCGAACTGCTGCTTTCCCCTTCTCACCAGAAGCGCACTTCTCCACTCGATGATTCTTTGTCCCCAGTGGTCTCAAAGAAGTCAAGGGTGGGGCATCTTTTGGACACCAGTTCTATTCCTAATGGTGATTTCTCTCCATCTCTTCCAAATTTAGTGGTGGTAGCCAGTCTCGCTTGGCCCCAAACCCCTCAATGAGGGTTTTAGTGTGGAACTGCCAGGGTTTGGGGAACCCCTAGCAGTTTCCCAGTTGAGGAGGCTGGTTACCCTTCATTCCCCACCTTTGATTTTCCTTTCATAAACAAAAAATAATTGTGATCGTGTGGAACGAGTCAGACATAGTTTGGGCTCGTATGAATCTTTTGTGGTTCCGTATTCGGGGCGTGCGGGTGGTCTTACGCTGTTTTTCACCTCAGAATGGCAAATCTCTATTGTTGATTTCACGGAGTTCCAGATTACTTGTCAAGTTATTGGGGGTACGGGTTCCTTGGTTTTTCACTGAGATTTATGGCTCTTGTACAGAACATGAGAGAGTGAAACAGTGGAATTATATTCACAGTTTAAAATTTCAGTTGGGTCCGCGTTGGCTTCTGCTTGGTGACTTTAACGCTCTTCTCTACAAGGATGAGAAATGGGGAGGGGTCTCGAAACAAGGTTAGATGTTGCGAGAATTCAAACTTTTCATCTCTGACTGTCAGTTATTTAATCTTCATTTCAAGGGATTCCCTTTCACTTGGTGCAATCACAGGGATTCCCACAAAGTTATTATGGCTCGCCTGGATCGTGCATTGTGCTCCCAATAGTGGTCTGAGTGTTTTCCGCGGAGTATGCTCCATCACTTAATTGTTCAAGGTTCGGATCATAGAGCTCTTCTTTTATGCCTCAATGATTCTATTACTCACCAAAAGCGTAACTTCCATTTTGATGCGCGATGCATCAAAGAACTAGATTTCCTTCCTACTTTGGAAAGAGCATGGGCTTTCCCAAGTCATAGTTCTCTTTTAGCTGGTCTTGATCTCAGGTTGCGGAAAATGCAAGTCGGACTTTCAGTACTGGAGGCGTGGTAAGTGTGATTATTCTCACAGGAAGATTCAGCAACTCCAAAAGCATCTGGTTTGGCTCAAGGATCAGACCTATGGTTGCAATAAGATGGAGTGCTACCGTCTTGAATAGGACTTTAGTAATGCTTAGCGTGACGAAGAAATTTTCTAGAAACAAAAGTCTTGAGTAGCCTGGCTTCATCATGGGGATAAGAATACCAAATTCTTTTCACCGGAAGACTATGATCCGGCGTCGTAAAAATGCGATTTTTGGGTCAGAAGACTCTTCGGGCCTGTGGTGTGATTCAAAAGACGACATTAGACGGGTGGTCGAGGATTATTTCAACACTCTCTATTCTTCCCCTCCTATGGTAGAGGATGCTGTTTTTTGGGACTTGGTCTCGGCTAAAGTTTCTCCGGCCATGAATACTGAGTTATTGAAGGATGGTACTCTAGATGAATTGCACCAAGCTCTTAGCAGTATGGGGCCGTTCAAAGCTCCGGGGCCGGATGGTTTCACCCCACTTTTTCTCCAATCCAATTGGGATTTACTGAAAAATGATCTTCTTACAGATTTTTTAACTCTTTCCTTCATGGGGACAATATACAGAGTATTAACTCCACCAATCTCATTCTGTTTCCAAAGGTCAAACATCCGATCTCCATGTCAAATTTTCGACCGATTTCTCTTTGTAATGTGGTGTATAAGCTCTTCTTTAAGGTCCCGGCTAATAAGTTGAAATTGATTCTTCCTTTGCTCATTAATGAATCCCAAAGCGCCTTCGTTCCAAATCGTCTCATCCATGATAATATCGTCATTGCTCAAGAGCTCATGCATGTCATTAAAGCTAGGCGAAAAGGGTCTTCTCCGGGTTTGATGGCCATTAAGCTAGATATGGCCAAGGCCTATAACAGTGTTAGCTTGGATTTCCTTAAAAAATTATGCTTCGACTAGGTTTTACTACGCAGTGGGATTCTTTAATTATGGAGTATGTCAAGACCGTTTCTTTTTCTGTGGTTCTTAATGGGGAGCAAGGAACCTGTTTTCCCCCTTTTCGGGGCCTTCGCCAAGGAGACCCGATCTCCCGGTACCTTTTCCTTTTTTGTACTGAAGGTCTCACCACTCTGATTAATGAAGCGGTTCGTCATAAACTCCTCAAAGGCATTCAGTTGGGGTTGGGCTGTCTACCTATTTCTCAACTTTTATTTGCTGACGATGCTATCCTTTTTTACAGTGCTACAACTAGCGAGGTGAGTCAGTTTAAGCTTATTCTTGACCGATATGCTTCGCTCTCTGGACAGTTGGTGAACCTGGATAAGTCATGTCTCTATTTCAGTCCAAACACTTCTGCCCCGCTGAGGGATTTTTTTGCCGTAATGTTGATTGGTCTAATCGGTACTTGGGCCTTCCCTCCATCTTGGGTAAGTCTAAAGTTACCGCTTTTAGTTTTTTATCAGATAAAGTCTCTGTAAAAATGAAGCTTCTAAAGGGTCACCTATTATCCAAGGCTGGTAGAGAGGTTTTAATTAAGGCTATTTTGTCAGCGACTCCTACTTATGCGATGCACTATTTCAACATCACCAAGGCTCAGAGCAAATCTTTGACAAGCAAGCTCCTTAATTTTTGGTGGAGCGGCGAAGAGAAGTCGAACAAAATTAAATGGATCAAGTGGGATACTCTCTGTCAGTCCAACGCTTTGGGGGGTTTGGGTTTCAAAAACGTCGAAGCTTTTAACATCGCTCTTCTTGCTAAAATGGCTTAAAGGATGGAGGTGGGGGACGACTCTTTATTATTCAAGCTTTTAAAGAGGAAATATTTCTCTTCCAGTAGTTTTGTGGACTTTTGTGATAACCCTCGACTCCGAGACATGGGTTGATCAGGCCCAAGCCGAAACCCGAGGGAATATCTAATAATTAATATTTAACAAACATGGAATACAAAAAGAATTAAGAAAGGAAGTAAATAAATACGCTGAAAAGAATTATTAAATATAAAATCCTCAAAATGATAATGAATAATAATAATCCAATTCTCCAAAACCTCCAAGTGTACAACTCGGGAATCCATCTAGTGGACTCCTAAACATAATCCCAACTGAACTGAAAAATTGAAAATAAAATCCCAAACTAAAACATAGAGAGAAGTTCTACGTAAATAGATGAATGAGTGA